TAGAAGTAAGCAAAAGACAACAAATTAGTTCCAGTGCAGAGTTTAAGTGGTAGGAACAGCACATAATCCAACACAGAACTGAAAGAAAAAACAAAATACCCAAAGATGAGACAAAGTCTGATATCAACTAGTAAAGGTCTACCACCACCTATAAAACCTAGAAGGACTGGAAGCCCCCTGAACCAGCAAGCCAGGGAGGGGGGAGGGCCGGGGGGCCTCAGCCACATCCTGACACCCACACCCTGCCCAGCGATGACCACCGAGCTGCTGCACAAAGTGCCCCAGGATCCTGAGCCAAGGCAGTGGGGAGGCTGGGAGCCTCAGCCATGCCCTACGACACCCACAACTAGCCCAGCAATGACCACCAAGCTGCCACAGGAAGTGCCCCAAGCCCCTGAACTGGGATGGTGAAGGGCCAAGGACCTCAGCCACATACCCCACAACACCGGCAACTGGCCTAGTGACGACCATTGAGCTGCTGCAGGAAATACCCTGGGCTCCCAAACCAGGGCCATGGGGGGGGCCAAAGACTTCAGCCACACCCCCAACATCTGCATCCAGCTCAGCAACAACCAAGCCACCACTGGAAACCTTCTTGTCTCCCCTGCAGGAATGAGAGGAGGTGCCACAGTTCTCAACCATGCCCCCCCTCCTTCCTCCTTCTCCCACCCTATTTCCTTTTCCCATCCCCCTCCACCCAACTGCTCCATAACATCTTAGAGTATAAAAACAGATGAAGCCAGGGACCAACCCCTCCTCCCACAACCAGGGCACACTGCTGCTGCCACGGGGCCCGCCCAGAGTCCTGAGGTATGGAGATGGTGACTGACCTCTCCTCCTGCAACCAGGCAAGGAGCACACCAAAAACACCACTTCCACCACAACAGCCACAGCTGTTGCAAAGTGGCTAGATGCCACATACACCATGCTGATGACCTGCCAGCCACTGGAGTGCTTTGACACAAGAGTCACCAGCAGAGACCAAAGAAAAGAAGAGGATGTCTCTCTCCACAAAGCCCATTCCAGAGTGATAGAAGAAGCATCTGCTCTACAATAATAGTGGGGGACCTGAACACACCTCTCTCAGCACTGGACAGATCATCTAGGCAACAAATAAATCAACAGAGTAACTGTTAATCTTTCAGAAGGAGAGGAGAAATCTAGGGTTATCATAGGTGGGAGAGGGGAGGGGAGAGATTGGATAAGGGGCATAAAGAATAAGTAAAATCTGTAATAATGTATATGCTAATAATGTTCATTTGATCAACACACATCAACACTGAATCCCATAAATATGTATAATCAATTATGATTCAATTAAAAAAATAATTTTCTATGAGGTGAATTAATGAGGTAGACTCTGCTGAAAATGTTCTTAGGAAAAAATAATGAATATCCACAAAGCGTATATTTACCTAAACTTCGAGATCACTCTAATGGGTATATTTTTCCAAATTCCTAATTTCCACTATTATATTGTTTTAGACATAAAAACCTCTGAAGAATTTTTCTACCCCACTCACCACACCAACCAACAAACTACGCTATTTGTGCCATATTTACTTCTAGTAAGTTATGAGTATAGTCTGTACAAAGCTTGGCTCATAAGGATACGTAGTTTCAAACTCAACACCAAAGAACTGATCAATTAGGCTTTTCTTCTTAGAAGGTGTCACTGCTGATGCAGATGAGGAATCTGTCTGCAAAAATTAAAATGAAATAATTCCAATTTTACTTCATTTAGATATTAATATTTCCTTTCACACAATCCAGTTTAGTAATACATATTTAAACTTTTTATTTGTATTGTTTTTTTTGTTTGTTTGGTTTTTTTTGGTCTGTTTTTCGTGACCGGTAAGGTGATCACAACCCTTGGTGTGGTGTCGCCCATACCATGCTCAGCCAGTGAGCGCACCGGTCATCCCTATATAGGATCCGAACCCGCAGCGGGAGCGTCGCTGCGCTCCCAGCGCCGCACTCTCCCAAGTGCACCACGGGGTCAGCCCCATATTTAAACTTTTTAAATGTAGTCCTTTCTGTAAAATCCTTCTATTCAAAAAACATTACCAAAAGATTACAGATGCTCAAGAATATCAACAAATTAAGCTAAATAATACACTAAATTCGAATGTCAAATGCAAGCTTTCAAATTCCAACTATATATTCAGCATCTAAAGTATTCAAACACATATCTACCCATAAGATGAATTTATTTTAAGCCTTTGGGGGGAAAAAACAAAAATAAAAGAATCAAGGTAT